GCGAGGGCTTCCTGCAAGTAGATCGCCTCCGATTCGACTTCCTTCAGGCTGTCCTTCAATTGCACCTCTTCCTCCTTCATGTCACACGCTTCTTCCTCAGCGCGTTTCAGCAAATTCACCAGCCTATTCACTTCCTTTTCCATGGAAGAACTCTCCTCTTCTGATTTCTTCACGCAATCCACCAGATGAAGCTCTTTTTCCTCCCATTCAGCCTTGGAATTTTCAAAGTCAGTCTTTGTTTTCTCCGATTCGCTCGTTAGACAATCTATTTCGTGTTTCGCTTCATCAAACAAGGCTTCATACTTCTCTTTGGTTGCTTTCAAGACCAACTTCAGATCTTCCATTTGTGAATCGTAGTTTTCATGCTCAACTTCACTTGACAGAAGCTTTTCTTTCGCTTCCCTGGCTTCTGCAGAAACTTCATGTAATGCCGAGGCTAAGCTCTCCATCGCCTTCTTGCTCTTCTCCTCTTCATTCCTTGAATTCTCCAACTCATTTAAGAGCTTGTTCTTCTCTTCCAATAGCGTTTGAACACTCGAAGCAGCGAGCTTCTCGTTGTTCAAAGCCTGTATCTTTTCCTCCTTCACATTTTCAAGCTCCGCCTTCAGCGACTCGACGATTTTGGCCATTTCAGAAGTTTCTTGCTTGGCATTACTAATTTGATGCTCCGACTCCTCGAGATCGCCTTTCTGTCTTCCAATTGTGATTTCCAATAGACCAACCTTTTCTTTAAGAACAGCAATTTCAGCTTCAGCATCATGTAACAAATCATTGCTTCCTTCCAATTGTTTCATCACCGAATCCAGCGACTCCGACACTGATATTTCCAACTTCCGCGCTTCCTCAACCTGCCTCTCCATTTCGTCGACCCTAATCTTCCACTCCTCTGCCAAACTCCGTGCATACGATTCAGCCATCTTCGCCGCCTCTAGCTCCACATTGAGCTGCTCAATACATGCCTCTTTCTCCAAAAGTATTTTCTCCTCGTGAATTTTCGCCTCCTCGAGTTGTTGTCTTAAGGATTCTATCTCTGAGTTCAGCTTCAACGCTGTCTTGTTGATCTCATTCGTCTCCGTCTCAATCTTCGAGTCGAGCAAGGCTTTCAACCGGGCCAACTCTGCAGAGAGAATCTCCGCCTTCTCAGCTTGAATCTCTGCAATCTTAGTCGCATCATCGGCGTGACTCATTGCCTGATTCTTCGCATCGCAGGTCATGGCCAATTCGTGCTTCAGCCTCTGAAGCTCCTGAGTCGTAGAGAGAAGAGCAGCCACATCAACAGCATGTTGGTTCCTCACAGACTCAATCTCCTTCTGCCATTCCTCTTCCTTCTTCTGCGCTGCCTCAATCCCCGCCTGCTCCAACTCGACGGCTCGGAACTTCTCGATCTCGGAACTCTCCTCGGCGCGCTTCTGCGCCACCAGAGCCTCTCTGAGCTTCTCATTCGTCTCCTCAGCAACTTTTTGCGCTTCTTTCAATTCGTCGATTGCTTTCGCCTTCTCCTTCTCAACCAAAATTATATGCTCCTTGGCTTTCTTCAGATCTTCCTGAACAAGATTCAGCTGTGTCTGCAGTTCCGAACCACCCTTGGGGATTCGCGACGGTTGTTTCTGAAAGTCAACAATGCAGAATCAAGTGTTGAGCAAGGACGGAAATGGAAGGTTGAAATTTAAGAAAATATCATTAATGTCGAAAAATATTTAAGGACAAAAAAAAA